TCGTGGTTTTCCAGGTTTCCGCTCCATAAAGTAGAACTGTCTTGACATTTGTATTGAAAATTCTGACTTTGATGTTGATTGCCAATTTTTTTGAGTTCCAGATGTTCTTCAAATGTAAATATGCTGCTCTTGCTTTGCCGATCCGTGCCTTCACATCTGCATTAGATCCACCGTGTTCATCGATGGTGCCGCCCAAGTCTACTTAGGAATAATGATAAGTCATGACCTAAAAACAACTACGCATTGCAGCGCAGCCGCTGTCAAAGGTTTTCGTGCCTTATAGTCACTTCAACGAGCGTTCAAATCATTTGACGAGGAAATGTTTCGAATTTTATGTCCCACCTATGTAAGACCACATTTAGAGTACTGTATTCAATCAGCTAGCCCATGTCTGGTAAAGGATATCAACTCATTTGAGCGTGTCCAGCGCGTGGGCACGCAATTAGTGAATGGTCTTTCTAAACTCCCTTACGATGAGCGTTTAAAACGCCTAAACCTTTTCCCCTTGTCGTATCGTAGGACTCGAGGTGACCTTATACTGGCATTTCGTATCCTTAATTATGACTTGAGTGTTAATATGTCTTATCTTTTTGCTCCCTCCAGCACTAATAATCTCCGAGGTCATAGCAAGTAGGTTCATAAACCACGATCTAATAAACTCAAAGTGGGGTTCCGTTTTTCTCATCGAGTAGTCAATGATTGGAACAAGTGGTATCAGCCCCATCAGTGAATATTTTCAAGGAGAAACTGGACCTTCACTGGAAAACAATCTGTTAGGATCAACACAGGTTCACCAACCTACTATCCTTATTACTGAAGACTGAAGACTTAAGATATTTCGTTATGGATGGTGAATATGAGAGAGACAGTCAGTGTCCATTACAAGTGTTATATGAGTGATTGTGAGGAAAGTGTTAAGTAGAGACCAGACACTACGTCAGCCTAAAGGCGTTCCGGATTGTGGGTAAGGTTTCGCTGAACATTTGAACATGGATTTTAACTTAAATTTACTTTTATTGAAAAATTCATCAGATTACTTCTGGAAGGTGGCGTAGGAAAATTTTCAACGGAACTTGCAGACGCCAAGGTACCCAAAAGTCAGGCACAAAGCCAATCTTTAGTTACTGCTGTCTTTGGTTTATTGAAGCGATTTCAGTGATTGTATTGCAGCTTAATTATATCGAAATTTCGAGGTTATCGTTAACATCGGAGATAGATCAGTTTCTGTCTGATATAGCTAACGTTGGAAGGATGAGATGGATTGTGAGACTTAAGGGCTCTAAGCTAGTTAGAAGGATGGAAAGCTTAGGCTTAAATCACTAAGGAATTTAAACGGAATGGTTTAGGTTGTGTTAGTTTTCTCTCACAGATAGACGGATGTTTTTAGACATAACTGCAAGCGGCACATCTGAAGCTGTGTTCAGTGCCTTTAAAAAGTCTTTACTGCCCCTTGTCTTTGTGATCCCACAAAAAATGAAGTTTTGATAGTGAAAAAACAAATAGTTTATTTCCGCGACTGGAGACATTTGATTTCTGGATCACTTTTCAGTTCTCAGTAAAATGGTGATTATAGCATTCCCGCTTTATCCTGATATACTTCATAAAATGAAGCGTCGATTGTAGCTGGTGAGATGAATGTATTTTTCTCCACAATTTCATAGACGTTTTCAAGTGTCTTTTTTGAATTCTTTTGACACAAGTAAACATAAGATAGTCCAAAAAACCTAATCACTGGGAAAGACTTAAATCTATCACATCTAGTAAGACTAAAATGATACTTATTAATTTACTCCTCACACAACGAAACACGAGTAAAGTTTGTGGCCATAGTGTATGTGACAGGACTGGGTTCTTGATATTTGTCCGCTAAGAAAACTGAGTCTCATTCAGTTACATGCTCGACTGGAATGAGAAAAAAAAATTCCAAACCAATGTTTTCAATCATTGAGGATACAATGTTAAATGCTTCCAAGACCAGATGCGTTAAACGCATTCCGTAGTGTCATGTGCTGTTCAGGGAATAAACTGTCTTAGTTAGGTCCCCTAGTAAAAAAGTTGAAATTAGTATCTCCTACAGAAACATAGTTCATAACTGGTTCTGATTCTATTGTGATCACTACGAGACATGTTGTAGCGGTTCGGAAATCACTTTGCGTCAACTGGCACTTGACTAACTCCCCATCCTACAACTGCCTAATCTATGTCATTCTACATCGAGGTCACATGATTTTGTATGCTAGCTTGTCCACATCTTAAGACCTAGTGATTTTGTTTGCATGAACCTTTGAAAAACTAATATATGCTCACCCACTGAATAATGTATATTCAAAGTAAAAGGAGGTGATTAACAGCGATCTTACCTGATTGGCCTGGCTATACAGTCTTAGTAGTATCCACAAGGTGACCTTTCTTGAACTTTGCTACTTTCCATCCACCTCTTAACTTTCAGTTTTCTTCGATTGCTACAAAAAAATAAAATGATGACTTCGCTACAAGTCAGGCTTATTACCTACGGCAAGTATAAAGGTTTAAAACCATACCGAGATAACAGGAAACGAGAGCAAAGAAATCATAAAGCTTATTTAAAAGACATTTGATATTATAGGTGTCTAGTTTATGACGATTTCAATGCGCCATGTGTCTTGACTCACAGCATTGACGGTCATTATCTGATCAAATTTTGACACATAATTGCGATGATTTTGTATATATCAAGACGCTTTGCTAAGGGTCACAAACTGACGTATCTCTCTCCCTAAACAAGTAAACAAGCCTAAAAGTTAAGTGTATAAAACAATTTCAGGATTTTTCCCACTTAGCTGGTTATGAAACGTTTATGTTTAAGCACCATAAAGTTTGAGATGCGCATAAGACAGCCACTGTAAAACGTTTCATCGACTATAAAAGACAATTAACAAATGAAGATAAATCTATCCAAAACGATAGTTTTCGTAGTATAGGGAGGGGATTTGACGGGATAACCAAATCAAAATACTTCATTGCCGTTTACACTGTCAGCACTTACGTTAATATGTCATCTAGCCAATCTCTAAGATGCATGTTTTTCCCAGAAAGAGAATGGTTTATCATTGACTCACTAACGTCTGGTCAGTCACCAGGTCCCGATAGACTACACCAACTAGTGAGATCAACCATTGGAGACATTTTCCCGGGAGAGCTGATGGACGTACTCACTATATCGCTCTCACATTCCGAACTCCCAAGGCGAGGAAAGGGTGATGTCATCAGTTTTATTTGTATGGACACACAGAAAGCTGGTATCCAACCACCTACTTGTCAGCCTCACCAGAATAGTGGTTAAACCATTAAACATAATAATTCAGATTCAGTTGCTTATTCACGTAAAGTTACAAAATCTTTTCATTTTAGCTGAACCTTGATCCAGTCAAAAATGTCCCTGATTGACCAACCTGTGTAATGAGCATGAACATAGCAGAAGTTCGATGCAGTAGTTTACCTCCTTAGGTCATATCCATAGGTTCTAGCAAGAGACTCCACAAGCTGTCTCACTAAGGACTTGTGCAGAAGCCTCCTGACTTTGTAATAACAAAAAGTGAAAAACCGGATAAGAAATTCACTTTGTATGTGAAGATATTAATTAAGAGGCCATCTAAGTGTTATGACTAGTGATCGGCTCTTATGACTGTGTCGCCAATTGTTATATCTCGATCGTTTATCACCTATGCTTGTAAGTTGAGGAATCACTGCAATTCCCACGATGTGAAGGTAATAGCACAAATGGGTTGAATTGGAGATTTACGAACCCCAAAACACTACGATGTCTCCAGTCATAAATGCCTTCATTTATATATTGATCGTGCACCTATTTTAATTAATAATTATGATAGAATCACACTTATGAAAAATACTTAGAGTTACAACAAATCGTATGCTACATGTCAACTGAGTATAGTCCATAGTAATTTAGTACAAGAATATAGTATGTTATACAGAAAAAATGTCATACTACACTAAGTAATCGTCACACTAAAGTTAAATGGAAGTCATATTGAACAAATATCACAATCAGTGGAAGAATTTAATGTTGCCTTTTTACCTCGTCATATTAATAAACGGAAAGATCAGAAATGGTGTGACTCAAGGTCCTATCTTTGATCCTCTGCATTAATGAATCAATGAGTGGATAAGTCGTCTGAACGTCTATTTGTAGATAACCTGAAGATTCAGAGGATGATAAATGGGTATAATGGTCAGCTTAATCTAAATGCCTATCTAGATTAATCCTCACCAATTTTGGAATTTGTTGATAAATTGCAGAAAAAGAGAGTAAACACATAACAGTCATGACAACAGTCATCAGTATACCATCAGTTCAACTCCACATTCCAAAGCCCAGGAAGAGAGGGATCTATGAGTATCTTTGAGCTATGAATTAAAAAGCTGCACAGTGCTATGTAACTACTGCTTAAAATTTTTGCCTGCCACTGTCAGTTTGCAGAGTCTTCAACGAAGAAATGATTCCGATTTCATACCCACGTGTGTGAGACCACACCCAGAATACTAGATGTAGTTAGCCATTCCATGTTCTATTAGAAATTAATATATGTCTGTTGGTGTCCAATAAACCAGAACAATTTCGATGACAGGTCTTTCAAATCTTGCCCACGAAGAGCGACCACTGAGTAAATATATTCTCATTATTGAATAATACTTGAAAATCTCGGATTGGCACCTCAGAGTTTAGTTAACTTTTAGATGTTAAAACGTCTTATTCTTTTTCCGCTTTCATGATTTATCACTTGTAAATTCGTCAAAAAAGACCAAACAACTAAAGTTGATTCAATATATCACATCGAGTGGTCAGCGACTGGAATGCCTTGCACAAACAAGTAATGTTAAGATAATCAGTAAAGAACCTTGAAGAGAAGCTGGACCTTCACAAAAATACTCAATATGAAGATTAATGCAGCTTAGCTGACTTACTATTTTTATTAGAACCGAGTGATTCTATGTACTCTAGCCCGCGGTGTTTGAACGGGTTGGGGGTAGTGCATTTGAAAAAGTACACCTTGTTCTGGGATATGGCACTTTGACAACTTTCCCCCTGCTCTTTCCATGGATGCCCTAGGTGCATTGGAAAGAAAGGTAATATATACAGAAGCGTCTAGTATTTCTGAAGCCATACGACTCAATCAAAAGGTATTTGCGATTACTTATTTATCATTTTAGGTCATCCTACTGGATTCGCGTTCGTTTATGGTATATAATACCAGTCACATACTTACTGCCATTAATATAGGTGGTAACAGGGCATTCCAGAGAAAGTTTTCCCAAAATCAGGTCAGTAGTTTGCATATATCCAGACATCTTCGAATAAAGGTCCCGTTAGATTTACTTTTGTGTAAACTGACAAACTTTGAAAACCCTACAGAGTTACAAAAGTTACCAATTGTTGTCTACGATGAGTTTATCGATTCTATACTGAACCTAATACCTGGATGCTTCTTGTTTTCTTTATTGACGCAATTGACTCTAAAATTTCCAGTCGTCTTTCTCCTTAAAGGTAATTAAAGAAACAACTTTTAGATTTGTTTTTCTCCAGGTATCTATTACACAAGTCTTTGGGATATCTTTACACTTTTACTGACTATCATTACGTAGTATACCCTTTGTTGGTTGTAATATCTGGTAATAAGGTACGAAGAAAATACTAAACTTGTTAAGTACTTGATTTCTTCGCCTTTCATGAGAAACCACGTCGGTATTTTTTCGGTTCACATTAACATTATTATCGCGTATCTGAATCTCTTCCATCTGGCAATCATTACTCTTGGTGGAGTAGTTTTAAATCAAACATTTGTATTTTCTGTTGCAGATACAGTACCTAAATGCAGTAGATTTCTCTGTAAAAGGATTTTTGATGTTCCAAATCACACTTAATCTACAACCATAACTAGCTGCATATTAATTCAACTTGAAAGTTGGCAGATGAACATTAATTCATTTCCCAGAGTTATGATATAAATATATTTTCAAACATGAACTAATATGGATCCAAAAATACACTTCCAAAAACGTTAACTATTTCAACTGCATTTACCCTTGATCATTCCTATTTCGATTGTGTTCCTAAATATATTTCAAATTTGGTCTTATTGACAAAACATCGGGTTGATTTTAATTTCTGAGTTTCGTCGTTATTGCCTACATCAAATATCTGATATATGCTTAGGCCATCATATAAATGTGTATCTCTGTCACTTAGGAAAATTGATGCATTTCTTATTAACTTAAGTGGTTTACCACTTCATCGTTCACTTATTCATGTGAGCTTGTTTAGCGCACTCACATTTACATGTTATGTTTTGAGTAATTGTTGTAGGTAATCCCGTGCACTTTATTGACAATGCTGAATGGTTATCTCATTATAGAGCTTTCTATATAGAGCTCACTCACAAGTTTATTCCTACTCGCCACCAAAATTAACCGATTTTTAATTCCTTGTGTGATTTTGATTAGAGTATGACAAACCATCCATGACCTTAAACTTATATTCATTGGATTATTTTTATTCTTAAGTCAGTTGACGCGTTTTCATTGGACTGAATATTAATCTCTATCGCGCACCTTTTATACGTCTCAAGTGGTTTGAGCGTTTCCTACCGTCAACTTATAACACCAAATAAATCAGGGTGTATTTCAGATTGTTTCCTCTTCAACTTTACCATCGATGACGTTCTGGAAATACCTCTAATGGATGTAAGTGCTGTGGATCTGTTACCCGTAGAAAGACGTTTTGATTCTGACTATGTGGATGATATTGTTTTATTCTACGATGATACTCAAGTCATGCAATTCGCACGCAATTAGTTGGAGATCAGTGTCCGTAGACATGTCACGTGCTTTGCGCCTTTTAGGTGCGAAGTAATTTTGCGAGGCTGATTGGAGCCTGTACCTGTACTCACTCATGCTAGTGAGTAATTAGAAGTAGTCATGAAGTTTGTGCACCCGGGTAGCTATGTAATTTCTGATGGCGTGAATGATGAGGTCAATCTACGTATAGTGAGAGCCAAAGCCGCTTGTTACAATCTGGTCCATCTTTGGTGCTGTTTGCTGATGTTAGTTTGTCTGCAAAAGGTCAGATTTCTAATGCGGCAGTGAGAGTGGTTTTACTCTATGCTTGTGAAACCTGGCTTTGAGATAATGTCAAGCGACATTGTTTATTGATCATTGTCTATGAAGGATTGCTAATATTCAGTGGCAACTCTATATTAGCAATGGGGAGGATTAGGAACGTGTATTTGGGCATGGTGACGATTATCTTGGAACACTGGACATGTACTACGAACGTTATCCCAGCGAATCTCACATCGTGCATTATTTTCCGAAGTGAAGTAGTCAGTGTTTCCCGTGTTGGCGTGGTATGATAGAAAGCTGTATAGTACTGGCATCTGTCGTTCCTCAAGGACTCCCTAATTGGGGTCCTAGTGATAATGAAATGAGAGCTTAAAACGTTATCAGACATGGTTCAAAAGATAAGCCCGTGGCGGTCGTGCTGTAGTTTTCTTTTGCTTCATGTAAATGAGAGGAACTTCTTTAACTGAGATAATTTTTTCTGGTTGCAGTTTTTCTATCATAAATGCTTCTCCCACTATCTTTTTTACTTTCACTGGTTTTTCCTATTTCCGTTGTACTCACCTACATTTGTCTCTTCACCTTCTCATTTTTATTGTGTAGTGCTTATATATTTTGGTGCCCCTTTGTACCAATAAATAAATAAATGAAATACATTGGTTTTCTAACTCAACTTTACTATCGTCTTGGTCATATTTCACTGTATATCTTTTTAGTGACAGTAACTATTTGTATTCTCTCATCCCATCACATAGGAGGATTTTTGGGGTTTCAAGCATCATTTCCAGAATTATGCTGGGTTAATACAGAAAAAGTTGCGGGTGAAGATTTTGCTGATTATCATCAGTGTGACTGCCAATTAGAACAAATACTAGATGCTTGCTTAGGTTATTCATCTTCTACTGACTTTTCTAAAATCCCGGCATCCGAACATGACATTTTATCTGCATCGGCTACAACCACTCATCCAACTTCTATTACATCAATATCTTCAAGTTCAATTTCATCGAAGTCTGCTTCATCTTCTCTCCCAATTCCATCGAAGGAACAGTTTTCAGGTGGGATTTCCAGAACATTAAGGTATAACCTTTGTTTTGTACCTCCATTTGTTTCTAGATCAGTAAATTTTTGCTGTGTTGAAAATTTCGTTCAATCATTAATTCCGATTAACGATCTCACCATAAACAATGATATCGATTTTTTTTATTTGTTTATAAAAAACATTTCAGGCCTTGTTAACCAGACCAAAATGTCGGCCATTTGTGTGCTCTTAATAATGCAGATCTTCATTCTCTTTCACTAAAAATTATGCAGCGTTCATCTCTTTTTTTCCTATGCAATCTCTTATTTTTGATAACCATGTCGATTTCTTGTCAATTCAACCATTACCTTTGCAAATAATTTAGTCGGAGGATAATATTTTTGCTTCTCGAGACTTTAATGACACAACTGTTAGTGTTTTATCTATTACTTTAGTTTGGGCGGAATTGACGTAATCGACTGCATCAAACTAAATTACTAAATTATTAGTTGGGTGTAAGAGATTGGATTAAGTGGTGAATTCTCATCATATGAACCACTACGTTTCAGCTATGCATACCTATCTGATAATCATACTACTCAGGATGCCATAATATTAGGCAATATTAAGTAGTTAAATTATGAATCAACATTTTAGTCTGTCGATTAATGAGTTGAAAACTTCTCTACTGCAGATTTTGATCCTTATCGTTACTTATTTTAATGAGTAAATTAGTCAATATCACTTTTCTAAATAGTAATGGCTCTTCTCCGCTATAGGTTCGGTGTAATCTAACATTTCTGGGGCTCAGTGAGATCTAAGGTACTGAGGGAGCAGTCGAGTTTGTTGCAGATTCGTTTGTTATTAATAGAATCCTTTTTGATTACCATCTTAATTCACATGATCACATTAAGAACAACTTTGATGAAATAAAGAACCATATCTTCAAAGAATGAAATGTATAATTATTAGTTTCATTCAGATTACATCTTGAAACTGTCATTATGAACAAACCGGGGATAATCTAAATCATTGCCTTTATATACCAAAATATTTCGTTCTATGCATATGTTCCATTGTCCTCTCTGTATTCAATCATTTTCTTTAAAATTTATATTGTTGTATCCTTTATACTTTTGGCATTTCGATTTTCTTACATCTCTTTTCATATCTTATCAGGGAATTTACCAATCGATTTGGTAAAACCTGCGCCACCAATACTTTTTTTCAACCCTGTCTTCATACTGTGTGCAAAAATTGTCCCTAAAGTACTCGCTTTTATGCTGCTTTTAAGCTATGTGCATTAATTCCAAAACATTGAAATTCCATAGCATCAGACGTATAAATTTTTTTCGGTTTTGAGAATATACGTTAGTTCATGCAAAAAAAAATTTATTTTCAAGTAACAGTAAATTTATATTAGTCAGGAAACTCAACATCGGTTTTAATCATTTTGACTCTCATTGTTTTACTTTTATCAATGAAAACAAACAATGCTTTTTATCACTTTATTTTCAAATAATTTTAGTCCTGATGTACCTGTGGATAGTCGTTCAAGGTCGATTATAGAAATGAAAGTTGATAATACTGGTAGTACATTAACTCGTCCGTCTCCAATTCTACCACATTTAATACTAGGAAGTCAGGAAGATGCTAATTCCCCAACTATTTGTAAACGTTATGGAATTACTCATATTCTTAATGTATCTCTTGAAGGCGGTATTCCTTCACATATTCCCAGTCAAAATTTCTATCAAATTCCTGTGAACGACAATTATACTGACCTCATGACACCATACTTCAAAGATGCTTTTGCATTTATTGGTAATTCTTTAATTGTTTATATTTTTATCCTTAATGAAAACTGATTTAAAAAACTACGTTGCTTATTATTTCCTTTGTACGTACAATTTAACAACTTAGTAAATGGTATGTTACTAACTGTGGAGCTCTAGTTTATTGGCTTAGGCATCCGAATTTCAAGTTATGTAAGTTGTATGTTTAAACATTGGTCCACTCATTGTGGGTTGGTCTTTGAGCTTCCGAGATACTAACCGTTATTATAGTTTCCAATAATCATAACGAATATAATGATGTAATATATATGTTGAGGTCCATAAAATAAGATATTTTCCCCCATTTGTTTAAGTATGGTTGTACGTATTTAGTCTAATAAGTAAATAACAATATCTTAGCTTACGTTTACCACAACAGTTTGCCTAGAGCTGTTTAAAAGACATACTTTAACTAGTGAGTAAAACTCGACGCATATATGTGCCTGGTCCTACCTTGTAGCTGACTGACTGACTGAAAACTCGAAAGCTACTAAATCATGTTGCTTTCGTCCTTACCATACTCCTGTTTACTTTGTTATAAGTACTTTCATAAATTTTACAGTAGTTTTTACCTCTTTTCATCCTTAGTGGTTGGTCAATAGAGGTAATTGGATTCGAGTATTTATTTCGATGTGTAAGATAATAACATTGTGGCAGACAGAATTTACATTCTAAGAGAGCTATAGCTTTTTAAACCTCACCTTTTCTTCTGAACCCCTACTCGATTCCGATGATAACACGATATAAGCGATGATAAAGTGAGAAATAATACAGACCCTTATTTAGTCAAATAATTCATTTGATGAAACACTTGATTGTATATATACTGAACTTCGGATTCCAATATTAAATGCTGCTAAGTTTGGGAAATGGAGAGTTAATCAGTTTATAATATGTAACCACAGTAGTTGTATTGTGTCAGTATCTGTTGCCGCATCACTGCTACCTGGTTGGGGGTTCTATAAGCCGTACGACTCTGTCTGAAGACCTTGTAAGGCGTTGCTAACAACCGAAGTGATTGGTGATCTGGCCACATTTTCTCGTTTTGGACCAGAAATCCGATGCATAAAACACTAGTTAAAGAAAATTAAAACCTACTACAGAAGGGAATTAGGCCAAGAAAGGATAAGATGTTTGACGTATCGCTTTTGCACGCGGAATTCGGGCTTGAATCGGTGGACCACCGACGCCTGAACAGTGTATAAGTTTTTGATTCAACCTCCCTTCGACCCAGTTCATTAATTGTGTAGATTATTTTAAAGTAAGACTCTTCGGAGCGACGTGTCCAGAGTCTATTAGATGCCATTGTATTGAACTGGTAACTGTTTCGCATTCTTTTAAAAACCACACCGAATAATGCTCTGAGGTGCGTTTAGAAATTGATCGCTTTATGCTGTCGATGTAACCTGCCCCACAAGAGCAAATAAATTTATAGATGCACATCGATGTGGCTCAAAGCGGAAGTTTATCCTTAACGCATCCGTAAATAGTAGGCCGACTTGAGAAGACAATGAGGAGCTTAGCTATGTAGAAGGTATTCAAGGATTTCGAAATCCGTTTAAGATTTCAGCGGCCGTATTTTCTTCAAGTTCGATTTTCATAAAGCGAGTTTTATTTTGAACCGTTGATGCTTTCTCAGGATGTTGTGTAGATGTTAAGTTCCTATCGAAGAATTTAGGTGGATAACCATTTTAATGAGTGTCTGTCGAAGTTGAAATAGTTCGTCATCTATTGTGTCGTCAGAACACATTCGCCTAATCCTTGAGGATAAAGAGTGAATTAGGTTTCTCTTTCTACTCAGTGCGACCCAGCTATGGAAATTCGTGTATTGACCATTCCAGGTCGGTTTTCTATACACATCTCTCTAAAGAACCATCTTATTTTTTCAACTGAACATCAAGAAGATGAAATTCCTCATTCACCTCTGCTTCCAATGTGAATTGTGTTAAGCGGTAACAATAATTAAATCGCTTCAAAATCTCATTGAGGTCCATATCTTCTTCACAAACAATTAAGGTATCATCCATATATCTGATATAAATGAAATCTCTCAATTATTGGTTGAGGCGTTGATGATACATTAATCCAAACCGGAACTCTGCGTGCAAAGATGATGCGTCCAACCTCTCATCCTTTCGTGGCCCTAATTCCCTTCTGTAGCATGTTTCAATTTGTTTTTTTTAAAAATTAAATCAGTCATCAGACGTACACTTACAAAAAATAAACTGCTGACAAACTGTTCTTTATTTATAAAGTTCAAGTTAATGCTTCCACACTGGTCTGATCTTTTACAAAGTCTGAATTTAGAGTGTGAAAGGTTGAGTCTGTTGAATACAACAGTTATCAACACAGGTAAAGTATATAAAATCTAACGATCATTGACTTCATATCTTGATATGTGTGTCCTGAACTGAGTACCAAATCTTTTTCAAGTTGTATATTCCTATCTAGAATGATTTTGAGAACTAATTATATATGCTACTTATAAAACGATCAGATTCAAAAAATACTAGTATATGACACTAACGATTTTTTTCAAAACGATTTATTTGCAGAGTCTGCTAAAGCAGCTCATGGACGAGTTTTGATTCATTGTTCAGCTGGAATATCTCGGTCACCTACTCTAGCAATTGCCTATCTTATGTATTCATGTCGAATGAAAATGCATGAAGCATACGAGTAAGTTTAGTTTAGATGCTTTGCTTCTATTTTAGTTTGTTGTATACTTGCGTACCTAACATCTATGTTGAGTTTTAATTTTGTATGCAAAAGGATGTCTTGGTTTTTTGACTGAATGATATTATTTTTAAAAAGTTTCTTGACTAACTCAGTGTTATTGAAGTAGTATAGTATTATCTTTCTTCTAAATCTATTTGTACGACATTACTAGTATGATGTATAGCTTTTCTGTTGATGCATTATCACATTCATCGATTCTTACCATCTATTTATTGATTAGAAATTACTTTTCTACTCATTTTATCTCGTAATAATCAGTAACTGTTTGATAGAAAAATAATGTAAAGCTGTAAGCTGTCATTGACAAATTTTATTTGTGATGAAAAACTAATAATTTGTACTTTTATCAAATCATCTTGTAGAGGGCGTCTAAATTTTGTCTTCATTATTGAAATACTAGATGATCTTGATAGGCGAGTTAAAAACAATCACTAGTTATGTTGTTAAATGGATTTTATGTGCCTGTATATAGTTATGATAAGTAAATTAAAAGATTCGAATTGTTTCTACACAAAGAGGAGTGTCGTAGCAGCTCTTATATATTGATAATGCACACAATTTTGACACAAATACGTATACGTTCCCTCGGTAACCATCAAAATAAGTTGCTCGTGATGCTAACTATGTTGATTACCTTTTAGAAGACGGGCCTGCCCCTCAATAATACAGCCTCTATTTCCAGTGCATGTTGTGCGATGGGGCCATTGGTGAATTATTGTTTAAGTTCTGTACGTAGTTTTACATTGATAGGGTAAGTTAGTTCGTAGAATTTGACAACTGCAGCGGTTAAAATTGTTAGCTGTGTTACTTAATGTTGTCTGCTCATTACACTAAAGTGTTATCTTGGATGGAGCGAAAATGTAAATTTGGGAAAGAATATTTCAATGAACTAAATTTCATGGTCGTTCAATGTTAAAACGCATTATTTTGAAACACTGTTCTTTTTTGGGGGATAGTTAACTTTAAACTTCGGTACATAACAGGTTGCTTTTCTTCCTCCGTAAAGATATACATTTTTCATTCTTTTTGTAAATTGGATATAATGTTTACGAAATGTTTGCTGTTTCTTTAATAGATAGTATTTACTTTGTCTTTGTGCGTAAACTTATCAATTCAGCCACAGTTTGTTTTTACTTTTGTTGAATTAGGAAAGAATTTCAAATTGTATACAGATTTAGCTATTTTTTCTTATTGTATATTACAATCCCATTATGCTTGTCAATTTAGGAGTAATTTATGTAATTGTATAATAATGAAGTCAAATTTATTATCTCCCGTTGTTTAATTGTTAACATTTCTATCGATTTTCTAGTGTTGTTAAATCTGGACGAAACAGCGTTGCACCTAATTTTAATTTTCTTGGACAGTTGTTGGAGTTTGAGCATCAACTTCATGATTCTGGTTGTAGTGAAGCTTCTATTCCAATGGATAGCACTCCGACTTTTGACAGCCCTGCTAGTTTGTGTTCAGTTCTAAGCATGTCCACAGAGGTACAAAGCTCTTCTATGTTAAAGTCTGGTCTTCATTCGTCATCATTATCACTAAATTTAACTCCATCGTCTCCGAAGGTGTTATCTAAGAAACGGGAAAGACCAACATACCTTGGTTTGGAGGCTACTTCGTCTTTTGCAGGAGTTTTAGAAGGATTTGTTGGAAAAAGTTCGCTACACTGTGGGGGGTCGGTTAGACCAATTCATGAGTCTGGAATAAGCCCAACTGAAGAAAAACGTAGCAGAGTCTCAGCGTTGTTGTCACCTACTCAGTCTTCTAATCCATTATTGCCGTCTCCTTGCACTGGTCTGTCTAAGCTAGAGATATCTTCACCCTTAGAAGAGTATCGCTCTTTACTGTCTGTTTCTCGTGCTCCATCGTCTTTTGTTCATGGACATGTGCTTCCGGGTCCTGAATCTGCCATACAGATGCTTAAATTCAAACCTTTTCTTTCATCTTATACAAGTTTACAAACTTTGAAGTTTGAACCGTGCTCAACTGTTATGCCACCACATCCTATCCAATTAACCACTACACTTTCACCAGCTAGTATTCTTAGACTTCGTCGTTCATCATCAACAGTTGGTGCCGCAAGACCAACTTTGCTTGCTCAGCGTCGTCTTTCTTCACATGCAAGTGCACCACCGACCCCAAGGCCAGTATCTACCGACGGAAGCCATCCAGTTTATCGTAGTATTTTACATACACATGGAGCATTTCGTTTACCAAGTAACTTGCCGTCAACTAGTTCATCTAGAGTGAGAGAGCTTAGTCCTTCCACTCCAGTATCTCAAGAACCAAAGCTTGAATACGAACAGCTTCAGAAATGTAATGCGAATGTTGTTGGGAATGAATCATTTGAAAACCAGGTTGCTCCCACAGGGTGTTCAAAATCTCTTTCATATTGTCGAAAACCTAGTCTACCTGTTAATTTATTGCGCTCACATAGCAATGAATGCTTAAACAGAAGTTATATAAAAAGTGACAAATTTCAGGGTTGTCTCATTTCATCATGTAGGTGTTTCAATACATCTAATCTCAGTCATAGTGCCCCATCACAACGTGATATAGATCTAGTCTTTTTTGGGGATCAGGGTTTTTCGAATAATTCCTCTCATCTCTTTTCTCTACGCAGGTCTTTACCTGTCCCCGGTGAGCTTACTTCATCGTCTCCAATGGATTCAAAGAGATTCGACCCTGGGCAGTTGTCAACTAACTTAAAAATGACCAATATTGCTACTACCATGCGGTTAATACCAAAAGGTACTAGTGTGGATACTTCTTGTCGACTCCAACAACAATCCTTTGTGCAATCATCTGGTAGTAGCAGTCCATCACCATCGGCTAGCCATAATTCACCACATAACAGTAGTAGTTATAGTTTATTCCCAATTTCATAAGGAGCATTTTGTCCAGTTTGTTTATAGAGAAAGAATTGCTTTCAGTCAGCACTATTTCCTTCCTTGCTTTTTCTACGATCAACATTTAAAAACTAGTTTGATTGGTTCATTTTCTTTCTTTGCTAAGTATTTGTAAATAAACTTAGTGCATTTATCGACTAGAACTAAATGTATTTGTATAACGACTAATATTACCGTAATTACTAACAGCCTTGACTTGTTTTGCTATCCAGGTTTTTTAAAGGCTTATGAATGGTGACTGTTTACCACTCTGATTTTAAGCCTTTTATTAGGGTGTTATCGTTCCAATTTGTCTTGTGTGTTTGTCTTTTTTAATGTTTTCTCCCCACTTTGTTTTCCTTCTTTCCCCAATTTTTTACCTATTTATTTTATCCGAATAATTGATTATATGCATTTTACAACCTTGTTTATACCTTAAACATTCCACCATTTTAAGTACTGCAATAGTATCCTTACTGGCCAAGTTAAAGGTGTTCTGGTTGAACAATTGTTATATATATACTGTACATGGAAAAATAAACGCACACTTAATTCACTTGTGCCTTACATAATATTTTAATAGTTTACTTAACTGTAAATATCCCTAACACTTTTTTCTTTTAGTGTGTACACATAGAGAAGAACCAGTTTCTTTTTTAATTTTTTTAAATGTACGTCAAACATTTATCTAATACTACCTACCTACTTATGTACATGTATACTACATATACTGTATTTGTTCTAGGGATTTTTCAAATTAAATCAATTTGTTGTCAAAAATTATCTTCTTTCCTTCTATCTCATACTTTTCGCCTAGAAAATATGACAGTTGACTAGTATTTTAGTCGATAGATTACTCCTTGTTTGGTGGCCCATCAGAGAAACCTGTAGGCCATCTATATTTCAATTGGAAATAAGGCAACGAAATTCTCCTTTTTTGAATTTCTCTTAAGTAATTAATAAAATACAGTTGTCTAATGTACTGACGACTTGCTATTATAAAAAACATGCAAGCCATACCAAAGCTAAATACTTCTTGATAAATATGTTTAATTATGGAGTTATGGAGATTGCTGAATTTCTTTAAAATCGTGAACCGATCTAGTTTAAACCACCATTAATAACCTGAAAGCACTGGATGGCCGTTTAGTTGTAGTATGGGACACCACAGCAATGCATATCCACGATCTTGTGCTCACTAGTGGCTAATTCTGAGAGGAAATTTCCTCAATTTTAGTGATGAGCCGTGCCCAGTGGTGCTAGTGCTTGTCGGGTGGGAGGCATTTATCCAGCGAAGACAATAGAAGATGGTCATGTAATATCATGGATTGATTGAAGTTAGATATTAATTAACACTGTTGGATGCCAGCTCAGTGATCTAGGAGTTAAACATTCTCTCGAGACCAAAGGTCCTGGGTTCGTGTCTCATTCGGGGTTGTGGATGTACACTACCGAGGAGTTCCAGACTAGGACGAAACATCGCCCAGTGCTTCTATGTTCTCAATAGTGGTCTGACTCAGATTCGTGATTTCAATGGAACCTATTAAGAACCAAGGAAAATTAACATTTCCATTAGAAGCATTGTTAGGTATGTTGTAGTTGTACAAATTAGAGTACATCATAACTAAGTATTAAATTAAATTCCTAACCCAACACTTAAACGGACTTAGTACTTATAACGGGTGTGGTGTGGTGTAATTATGGATTTTATTTCTTGCCAAATTAACTATTTATAAAAATAAAAGTTTGTAAGCTGTCATTTTTTATACTGATTGGAACTAATCATTTTGTCTAATTTATATGATTATGAAAATGAGTGAATTCTATATCTCACTTCTTAAGCTTCTGTCATCATGTGAACTTTAGAAGCTTAAGAAAACAAGAATACAAAAAACTTTTTTTGTAAATTGTATTTACGTAAACTATCGGGAAATAGCCATAAGTTATATGTATTTAAATATATATATTAATAGCTAATTAAAATTGTTCTCAAGTCGCATAATCATATCGTAATTACCATTAAATTATCATACCTAACGTCAATCAATTCAATATTTTTAACAGTCCACAAACTTGCATCTACAATCAACATTTTTTGATATAATTTGAAGAGTTATGCGGAGAAATACTGTGTCACTCAATAACACAAATTCAGGGTGTCTTTTGTACATTTGACTAGCAAAAATACTTCTAAAACTACAAAGAAAAGTTGTTTAGCTTGTATCCCTATGCGGAACTACAGAATTGTGTTAAAAGCAATAATGTCACATCTTCATTCTTCCCTTATGTGTGAAACAGGAAACATAGGCAAACCTATGCTTTCAATCTCATTAAAGGGAAACACTTTACATCCAATATGATATTGGTTTGTTCTTATCTTAATTCATACATCAATAGGTTTTTTGTTGGGTGCTTAGTTTGCAAATGTCATGTCATCTCTAAAATTAATGGTAGGTTATTTACGATGAAACACCACACAGAATCACTTATGTTCCTATTGACTTAATCCAAACTTACGTCGTTACACAAAGTTACTGACTATTATGGTGTAGTCATCAAAAACTCTTCTAGTGAGGTATGCGAAATTTAGCTGGATTGCTATTCAGTGCGTATTCATAGTCTTGCTAGTAAGCATAATTTCAACAAGTGAGTAGCATGTATATATCAGTGAAAATATCAATAAATTGTTTATCATGTTCAACTGAGGAATAAATTTTGTCTATATAAGTACTAGTCACTTATGGTTACAGAATTGTTGCAGAATTCTTTTTGTTTGCACGCGTAGATTCATTTAATTATTTCCACACCGAAATATCTATCCAATTCTTCTAGTCCTGCACTGCATACCTGAAATATAATGATAAAATTTTGTTGGTACATCATAGTTTATAGTCATAGTATTTCAAATAAATCCGGATAGTACTGCTTTACGATACTATACATTCGAGTGGAAATCATTATTTCTTAAAACAATGGGTTAGATGTACAATATATATGAGCATAAATTCATCTAACCTGACTTCCAGTTATCTCATTATCAATAACCTTAGCTTTAAATATTAAAAATACATAAATAAAGTTGAATTTTCCTAAAACTTATCTTCATTACAGATGAAACGGTAAGTTTTCACAACATACTCTTCTTCATGTCAGAAGTTAAATATCGTTTTTTTTACTAGAATAAATGTTTGAATGTACTTATATATGTCTGATTAGTTTCAAGGTTTAATGAAACTGTGCAGAGGAGCAATAGTTCTTTTTTAATAATGTCATCCATCAGTGATAACGGTTATGTAGACTATACAACTAATAATAAATAAAAGAAATAGTTGTAAGTATTGTGATAAGGTAGGTTGAAATTTGGAGGAAAAACTTATTAAAGAAAATGACCATTGTCATCAAAAATTAAACAACACTATGTGGTGAAATGTGTAAATAATCAGAAAGTAGATATCCAAATAATAAAGAAGGGATATGAATGTTGGAGGTAAATTACTAAATCTTCCCTGACCACAAAAAGCATGAATATATTACATTGTTCTATGAATTCCGGGTTCTATAAGGTTTAGGAACATATGATAGTATTTTGACCGGTTTCAAGCAGTTTCCCCTTGAGCACTGCTACATCATCTAATATTTAGTTCATATTCCTTAAAAGGAAATATTGTACTATCATGTTAACATCAGGAAAGCGCACATATCTCACCCATTATACAAAAATACTTAATAGGAATTCACTAAAAACACTTACTTTAATCGGTGGATCTTTTAAAGGGTTTCCACCGACTGTTGTACTTGGTGATAATAATGGTGACCATATCAATCCACGTAGTTCAACAATTGATTGTGGCAAACTTTCCAGTCTGTTATCACCCAACCATAAACATCTTATATTTCGTAATTCACCAATATCCTCTGGTAAACTGGTCAAACGATTGTCGAATAATAATAAACTTTCTAAATTGATTAATTCAGTTATAGACGGTGGTAAAGTTTCCAAATGATTACTACTTAAATCTAAGAACTCCAACTTCGTTAATTTCAATATTGGTTTCGGAAATTCAGCGAACTAAGGTTATTAGTTTTTTTTAAAGTAAGGTAAAAAGGAAAACAAAGGGGGAGTTAATTTAACAAAATACATAGTCTTTTTTATGGCTTACAATAAAATAGTCAAAATTCTAGGCTATACCGTGAAAAGTGATTGGTTGCTTAATGATCATTGGTATTCCTAATCAAGTATTTCTCTACCCTAGCAGAAGTGCCCTCTGAATGCGTGTGTTCAGCATTCTTTTTTTAAAATACTGGAAATCCAAAGAAGATGGGCCCAAGCAATTAGTCAACCGACTAGAAATAACTCCTAAAAATACTTGTGTGAAGAATACTATCTTCACAATATAGATTATGATCATAATGTTACCGTCCACTACCCCTTGAACACTGCCAACGAAGATAGATTCTCTGTGCTACTTTATATTTGAAGGAGAACTCCTATCCAATCTATGTTGTGTTACATTTTTTGTCACAAAAATAATAGTTCCCTTACAGTATAATATGCGAATAGTAAATGATTCTCACTTGTTGTAATACTATTTATTTATGGTTTATACTGACAGCCATCATTCGAATGTAAAGGTTACCAAGTTCAGTTTTATTGACAATTATTATCCAAACGCATTAAAATTCGTTACTGCATCAATCAGTCAATTTTTTAAATTACATATATGATAAAAACAAGCTATGATATCAGAATGGTAACTCCTACAACTAATTTATGTGTTGTTATTTATATTCATATTGTATAATTACTGAGTAACTGGATTATCATGTCAATTTTTTCTGTTTATCAAAAGCTTTCTGTTAACCCATTAACTATTATCATACGATTTACTATTCCTGATTCGTTACCTGTCTATTACTTACAGTCTTCCTTATTCATAGCCGGTTTCGGCTTTTTTTATGTATAATTATTGTTTTTCATTTTATGGTGTGATGAGGTCCTGTATATCTGTATACAAATCACGTCTGTTCGCAATATAAATATTGTAGAAGCTGATTGCTAACTTTAGGGAATAGAGAGAAGATTGCGAATAGCCGATCAGCAAGAACTTGTCTGCATCGGCTCATGATTAGTAGTACTGGTCGGGCGTGTAGTTGGTCGATTTAGAACAGTAGGCTATAAAAACGGTTTTGACATAGTGAAGTATTGATTATTTGAATGTGTCATCGTATTTTAAGTGGTTAATAAAAAACCAATTAACATTATTAGTTTCAAAGTATGGATAGATTCAATTAATAATTAGTGTGAAGCGTAAGTAACCGATTGTTTACTGATAATTTTCAGTCTAGTTTTAATGCACACAATCAACTATTCTACTTAGAATGATATACAGACATATAATAGACCTTTCGATAGAACATTAGTTTTACGAAAATGCTTTTAGCACATAATCCAACTTTTTGAAAAAAAAACATGGAATTATGTTATAGAAACATTATGGTAGTTTGGACGCTAAACAGCTTTATACGCATGATCCATTACTTGATTATACAAGGTAAACGACAAGAAGGTATAAATTCTTTGTGCTTTATTGACTCATACTAACTACAAGTTCAAAAATGTTCACATTGTTTCTGAAACTAAATATGACTTTATGAATGATTAAAGTTCGATGTATCAGCGTTAAACTACCCAAAATAGGACTAAAATATTTCACAGTTTATCAACGGAACTTATGAGAAATTTATAAGCATTAACACAAATATTTGTTTGCCAAT